TTTGTATCATAAAATCATTTTTATCCCCCATTTAATTAGTCAAGAATCAGATAATTTCTACCATCACCATCTTTCGATAGTTATAAACCAGGGATTTCTTGTCAACTTGTTTAAATTGAAAAAGATAAGTGTCTAAAAGTGGATGGAATTATACATGTAAACCGGCCATTGGAAAGGGTCTGATTTATAGTAGGGCCAAAACAAAGACAAAGCAAAACCATGAGATTTTTTAATTATTTTTTCATGAATTATGGTGGGAGGAACAAACAAAAGTTGGTGCCATCAATTGCCAATGAGATTTTGATTTATTGATAAAAAAATGCTATCATTTTTAGGTTTTAGATTTAAATTTTACTGTATGTAAATTTGATTATATTTTAATTTATTAATTAATTATGATATAATAATTGATTATTCAATTGATTTTAAAAAAAAAGGTGCATTCAATTCATTTATTATTTACTTTTAATTTTTTTTCAACTATTAATAAAAAATTTAAAATATATAGTTGATAATTAAAGAACATCTCATTATTACTCCAAATTGAAAATTTTAAAATATTTTTGTTTTAGAAAGTTATTGTATTGTATTATTTACTTAAAAAATCATCATTAATTTCTATCATATTCTGCATTAGAGACAAGACATCTATTTGCATTTTTGTTCATATAGAAAAAAACATTTATTCTAAAATGAAAAATGGGAGGCCTAGAAGAGGCCAAATGCATGACATGAGGATCTTATTAATATTATTAAAATGAAAATGTGTCAATTGACATTATCTCAATTGTTTTTTTTTTTTTTTTCTTTTTCAGTCTCTCTTTCTTTTATTGTTTATAATTGTCTGAATTATAAATATATATAATTACCTAAATTATAGATTAATTATTAATAATTGAAACTAAAGTTCGATATTTTATTAGACAATTTGAAATATTTTACTCTTATTTCTTACCTATTGTACTTGAAAGTATAAACTCAAATTTAAAGTAATAAATTATATGTCATAGGTCCATAGAGTAGACCAAAATAAAATTATTAAAGGTTTTAAAGTAAAGTCTGCCCCTAGCTAATTTAAATCACAAATTTTGTTAACTAGGAAGGAGATATAATTGTAAATTAAATTGTTTATATTATTAGTAAATTATAGGATGGAAATTTTAATTGATGACCTTTGAGTTAAAAATTAAAGAAAAAAGTACTTACTTTATATAAATATAAGTATTGAAAGAGAGGTTATTTCATTTTAAGATTAATATATATCACAGATAAACATATTATAATGAGAATTAAATTTAGATCTTATAAGTGAAGTGTTCAATTCTCATGAACTCAATCATCTTATATCTTATATTATATATATATATATATTATATATTTATATATATATATATATAAGCCAAAGCTGTTGGTAAAAGAGAGAATATTTTAATATGGATGACTTATATTATTGACATATAGATAATCTTAAGAATCGCTATGTCTTATATTTTGTTTTATTTGAATTATTTTTTAAAAATTAATTAATTAAATTTATTTTTTATTATTATTTATCTTAAATCACTCTTAATTAAATTTATATTAAATGTAATAAAAATTTAATTACCATCATAATAAAATAATTTTGTGTTCTTTTTTTTAATTATAATATTCAACTACTAAATTACACTTATGTAAAAAAAAAATTCACTTTCTAATTTTTTTAATCTATAGTTTATTTACTAGCAGAAAAGAGTTAAGCATACATAATTAAATTATTAGGTTTATATATATTGAGACTGATAGGTTTAATTTTTATGAGAATACTAATAAAATATTTTACCATTAAAAATATTTTTGTCAAAATTATAAATATAACATTTCTTAAAATAAAACAAGTTGATATTTTTATGATAAATCATATTTTAATTTTTAAATAGTAGTATATATATTACAAAATTATCTAATTTTATGGTTGATCTATTTTTTTACATGTGATAGTCTAATTTATCCAATGCTTTTTTATTATTACATATTCAAATTGATTTACTTGATAATATTTTACTTTCAATAATATTATAAATTTTGGCTTGATAAAAATTTTTAATTATTAATCCCAAAAAACTATATAAATGAAAAATCAATTATAAATTCAAATAAAAAAGGAATTTGCTCTTCATATATTCAAATATTTATATATATAATCATCTCTCAATCAAAATTTTTATTGATTCTATATTATTACCTTTTTATTTTAAGGTGTTTATAAATTAAATGAATATTATTACTAATTTGAATCTTTTTTGTGTAATTACTTCTAATCTATTATTATTGTTAGTCAACTATTAATATTTAAAATTTTATTTTACTTTATTTAAAATTTATTATAAATTAAAATTATCATTCATGCATAGCATGAACTTAAATCTAGTTATCATTATTTTAAATGCTAAAAAGGTAACAAAAACATTAACAAAAGTATTTATTTTGATTAAATACAAAAAATATTAACAAAACTACTTTATTTTGATTAAAACTAATTAATCAACATGAATGAGTTTCTAAGATGGCATATTATTTGGTACCACAAGTTTCTTTCTTTGTTGGAATAGATAAAATCAAGCTTTGCTAAATCAATGGGCTATCTTAAAATGATGGAGATAATGACCCAACAACTAAGACTACCAATCATTTCATATCTGCATCTTTTCTATATCTTCTTGATCACATCAAACCCTATTAAAACACCTACCTTATTTTTTTAAAATTTTTTAATTGAGCGAGTTGTTCGAAGGGCACTAGGTTTTTCTTCAACATTTTTTTTTTTGAATGATTTTAAAATTATATTTTCATTTAAAATTTTATTTTCAACAAAAAATTTTTTTTTCTCTTTACCAACATTGTAGATAATTTGAACACTGTTAACCATCATGAATTTTTTCTTAAAGCAAAGCTTGCTCTACCTAAAGAATAAAGAGTGAAGTAATGGGTACCATATAATTAACCTTTTCTTTACCCTTTCATCATGAATGTTCATAGCTTTTTCTTGCATGAATGATCTTGAGAGTGATTATTAAAAAATGGATTCAACTATCTTGTAAAACAATCACTAAGCAAATGTTTCCATATATATATATTGATTAAATAAATGGTTCAAACCCTTAATATATGTATTTTTTTTATAACAAGTAATTACTAATAATCTTATACAAATTTATTCGGAGTTCATGATCTGAAATACCAATATATCAATACAACTCAATAAAATAATATATATATATATATATATTAGTTTAATCGTAATTGATTCATACTATTATTTATAAAAATAATATTTGATAAATTTAAATTTTAAACATCAATATTTATGGTCTTTCTTTTGTTTTCAAAATGTGATATCTTTAATTTATACATGGTGAAAACATTGATTCAAATTTTTGAATTTCATTGAAAAATAACGTTTTTTTACTAGAATAATGATAATCATAATATTTAATTTAAATATTGAAAATTTAAGATTTGGGTTTTTTTTTTACCAAAAATTTAAAAATTAATAATGAAAATTAAATACAATAAACCATGTATCTTAGTAATAATATTCTATGATTTTGACTGACGTATATTTTAATTTAAAAATAGCTAAATGATAAAGTCAAAGGCCATAAGCAAATAGAGCCGGAGAATAATGATGATGACAACAGAAAAGCCCGCTTCTCTCTAATCATATCTTAATTTCTTATTTAAATATTAAATAATGATAAAAATTAATTATTAATTATTAATTAATTAATTTTTTATTTACTAAAAAAATAAAATCTCTCTTCAAAATACTTTTTTTCTTTTTACCTGTGAGCCCCACTTATCCAGCCTTAAGACTTGGTCACCTCCTTCATGATTAAGCTCCTTTTGATTTTCCTATAGAATCTACCTCACCATCTTCCTTAATTACCAATCTATCCTCATTATTAATCATTTTCTCTCTCTAATTTCTTTTTTATTTCCTACCTTTTTTTTGAAAAAAAAAACCCCAAGGAAAAAAATTGTAAATAAATTACTTCTTAAAAAAAAAAAAAAGCTTTTAAAGTGTACAAATGCTCTCTCTTGTAGTCAATCTCACCCTAATAATCTCAAATATTACTTAATCGTATAATAAAATTAAAAACTTTAGTTAACCCTCAATATTCAAAGAATATCTTCATCTTCGCATTTAGAAACTTTTCACTATCATGAATAATTAACATCTAAAGTCCTGTTTAATGGAAATTCATTCTCATTGTATAGAAATTTTATTTGGGATTAAAATGATATTACACGTTGTTAAATATTAAAATTGTTTTGATTTCAAACAAAATTTTTAAATCTATGTATATTTATAAAATTGATGCATATAAGAAATGTATTAAAAGTAAAATTGAATTAGCACAATTATTTTTTAAAAAAGGAGTTGATTTTTTAGTATATATAATAAAAATTATTATCCTTAAACATGTATTTTTAGGTGATTTTATTCATTACCTCAATTAGAGTCCCCTCTAATGTTACATTCAAACAAGGCAACATACATTAATTTGCATATTATACTCAGGTGCATGTCTTCTCCATGGTCCTCAACAATCTACACCATTGATTCATATAATCATCGACGATCCAACGGTACATTTGAAGGAAGATTATCTCCTCAAAAGACAAAAATAAAATCGACGTTTGTGCCACTCAAGAGATTCATTTTGCCGACATGTGAAGTGGGAAATCTAAATTTAGCACATTGGAATTTCCGAAAATTATTATTTTAATTACCAATTTTTTTATCAAATAAATTAATTAATTAAAAAAATTTCATGGGGTTTTGAGTTTTTGAATTTATAAACAAAGGTCAATTATGTAATTTACATAGTCTAATCTGTTAGAATCAAAATCGAAATTCAAGGAAATTTCATTGGCTTAATTCTCTGTAACTCGTTTATAAAATCTAGCTGTAAAGATTTACATTTTTTCTAAGTATTTCTAAATATTATAAATAAATTCGTTAATGATTGAAAAAAAAATTAAGGTGAATTTTCTTTATATAAAGTTATCTTTGTGTCAGTTAAAATGAAGTTCAAACACTGAAGACAGTAGCCTTAGCCAGTTTTCCATGTCTCTTGTTCATAGAGTTGAAGAAACAGGAAATCATTGTACAGTTAGAGAAAAGACATGAAAAGACATGAGACATAAAGGGTGCTAAACATGTTGCTGTTAGAAGAAGAACGGCTTCTTCACTCTACTTTCTGGTACAAGTAACTGGTTTTGCAAGTTGAAACTCAAAAAATTTTGGTTGGTAAGTTTGTTTAATGAATCTTTGCTGTTGTTTTTTTTTCTTTGGTTGTGTTTTTGTATGGAGTATATTTATCTTTATCATGAGTTTTTTAAAGGGTTGCTTTTATTTTTATTGAGAGATTATCTTAAAGGTGTTGTTTTTTTTTTTTTTAATTTAAAATTCTGTGTTCTTATCTCTTTTTTTTTTTTTTTTTTTTTCAATTGGATTACTTTAAACCATGAGAAAATTCTGGGTTTTGAGTTGTGAAAATTTTGGACTCTTAAAAATGTGTGTGTGTGTGTTTTTTTTAATGCTTGAAACGAAGTTCAAGTTCTCTTCGGCCACAAAGAAAAGGTTCAAGTTCTCAAAATTTCTCAAAATTTCTGGTTTTTTCCCCTCTTGTATATAAATTCTCTCTAAGGAAAAAATATTTTCTGTTTATGATTTTATTTGTTTACCATGTTTGGTTTGTTTGAAACATGTGATTTCTTTCATTCTTTTTCTTTTTGTTTCCATATTTAGGAAAAAAGTCCATTTCTGGTTCTGATAATATTCTAGGCTTCTACCATTCCTACTTCCTAGCAGCTTTTGTAGGGGTAGCACTCAGATTTCCTTTCTTTTAACATGGAAATTTTTTTTTAAAGACTGAAGACTGAAGAGTAATTCTGAAAGGTTTTTCTTTTTTTTTTTGTGTGTGTTAATGACACATTAGATTTCCAGAAATAGATACCCTTTTTTTCTCCTTAGACTCTGACATGGAAAAATGAAAAGAAAACCCTAGAATTTGTAGAGTATTTATATGTATTTTCCTGCTGGTTTTTACTGGATCTGCAATTTGTACTTTTTTTCTCTGAAGACATAGATTCTATGCTTTTGACCTATTAGTCTCTTTGTTCTATAATTCTTTACAGGTAAACATTGTTTTCTTGGTTTGTACTTTGTTTTTATGAGTAGGTTAGATACCATGGCTATGGTCTGGGATGCACTAATAATATGTGTTTTTTTTGCCTTTTTGTCTGCAGTGATTGAAAAGATAAACTAGATGCAAGATGGAATTTTCTGACTATACCCAAATTTTGTTCAATAGGATCAAGAAAATTGAACCTGAAAATGTCTCAAAGATTATAGGGTATCTTCTTTTGCAAGATCATGGTGACCAAGAAATTGTTCAGTTGGCTATGTGTCCTGATATGGTTATTCAGGAAGTAGTTTACAAAGCCAAGGTTGAACTGCAACAGCTAGCGCTTAAATCTGGATCACCTCCTATATCGCCTTCGATGAACTCGGCCCCTGGTTCTGAATTGCCCTCACAGTTCGCTTCTTTTTCACCACCTGTCTCCTCCAGGCCTTTCTTGTCTCCCAGAAGCCTCCAGGTCACATCTCCCTACTGGGAGCAACAACTAGCTGCCAAGCATAACTCCGATTTTATGCCTTCGGGTTACTTGGATTCTGTATCTGATCTGCAGACTCAAACTCAGTTCTTGAGCCTGGAGGACCAAATGGAGTCTGTGAACTTGGGAAATGGTGGATTTTCAAATGATTATTGTTACTCAGATGCTGCATTGGGTAATCTTGGTGTAAGAGCAGGACGTCGACATCAGAACCTGCCTGACTTTCCAGTTAAGACTTGTCATTATTTCAACAAAGGGTACTGTAAGCATGGAAGTAATTGTAGGTACTTCCATGGTCAAGTCTCGGATACCTTCCCTCAAATGTTTGGCCACAATTCAATGGATGCTGTTAATGAAGATCCTGTTATGTCACTTGAGAAGTTAGAGCTGGAATTAGTAGAGCTCTTGAAAACAAGGAGAGGGGAGCCCGTTTCAATTGCATCTCTCCCTTTGTTATACTATGAGAAATATGGTAAAGTTCTGCAGGCAGATGGTTATCTCACTGAGAGTCAGAGGCATGGCAAAGCAGGCTACAGTTTAACAAAGCTTCTCGCTAGATTGAAAAATAGTATTCGAGTAATTGACAGGTATGATTTATGATTTATGAATTATGATGTTTTATGTTCTCAGTGGAATAAAAGATTAAGCATGAGGATTCAACTGATGGACTTTTGGTGATTGAATCACAGACCTCACGGACAGCATTCAGTCATTTTGGCTGAAGATGCCCACAAGTACATGGAAAATCGAAATGATAGAAATGATCCTGGTCCAATTGTCAGTGGATCACGTCAGATATATCTTACATTCCCAGCTGAGAGTACCTTTAGTGAAGACGATGTGTCCAACTATTTCAGGTAACATGATCTTGAAGCCTTTTGTTGGCTTATTTGCAGTTATATATTCAGTGTCCCAAAGGTTTCTAATTTTCTTGTTTCTAATTGCAGCAATTATGGACAAGTTGAAGATGTAAGGATCCCCTGCCAACAGAAACGGATGTTTGGGTTCGTAACCTTTGTCAGTGCAGATACGGTGAAGATGATTTTGGCAAAAGGAAATCCACATTATGTATGTGGGGCTCGAGTTCTTGTGAAACCTTACAGGGAAAAATCAAAGCTGGTTGACAGGTAAATATAATTGTTTCTTCTTTTTCATTTCTACATTTGGAAATTGGGAACAATGATTTGTGTACGAAGCCTACTCCATGAATTGAATGAAGAATACGATAATCACTGATCTATTGCTGCAGCTATGGTTTTGCATTTGCTCTAGCATTGGACTCTTATATTTTGATATCATTTCTTTCAAAAGCTGGACTTTTTTTGCCTACTGAAATATATTTTTTTTTATCTGATTGTTGGTGCTAGACTGATTATGTATCACTCACTGTAATTCTCAGTATAAAATCAGCAAATTCTATAGGCTTTCTAGCTTGTTTGCTTCGTTTCTTACAGTTTCAGATAAGTTTAATTAAAAAATTCATGTTTGTTGTGTTGCATTATAAATTAGCATAATCTTTCAGTAAGCAAGTGATCATCATTTATAAAGGCTTTTTTTTTTTTTTCCAATGCAGTCTAATGTTAAGGTTTGATTTTCATGCAGGAAGTACCAGGACAGAATTGAGTCTCCAATGTATTATTCTCCACACTATATAGAGATGGAATCTGAGCTTCACTCAAGTAAGTAGCTTCTTTTTATAACTTTGATGGAAACTTCAGGCGAACAGCCGGACACTTGAAATCAATGTGTCTATTGAATATGACAATTCATACTGACTAATTTTAGAGTAGGCATATTTGATGCCATTTCATATTTTGGCAATGATTTAATTCCATCTGAGTAAAATAACTCTTACTCATCTGATGTATGATTTTCTCAGTTCCAAGGGGTTATGCAACGTCTAGGTTGTTCAGGAAGCAGTTTATAGAAGATCCAGAACAAATCTTTCAACTCGAGAGGAGGCGCCCTACGGAGATGCATTTGGCACAGAAGCCTCTGTCCCATCAGTCCTTCTTTGGCTACAACATGGATGGGTTAAAAGTCCCAGAAGGTCTCAAACTTCTTGGTTTCATGTAAATTCTTTAATTTTGTCCTCTTCTTCAATTCTTTCCCTGACAATGCCTTCATTTCCACCTTGCAGATCAACTCAATTTCCCCTCAACTGAATTCAATTATCTGTTGGAAGCTCTCAACACCAGCACTGCATCTGATGAAAAAATCAAGCATATAGAGACTAAAAACAATGACCAGGACAGGTATAGAATTACTTTGTCGTAAAGTTTCCCTTTCCATAGGCTTCCTGTTGTGTGATAGCTCATATTTTAGAACCTGAAACTACACACTTTCTTTCCCTTATCCATCATTGCTTTCTAATGATTGTTTCGAATGTTCATGCATTTGCAGTGAAGGACTTAATCTGCCAGATAGCCCATTTGCTTCTGCTATAGCTAGCGGCATTTCTACAGTCATTTAGGCCGAGCAAATACACAGAATAGAGTTACTTAAAGTACCAGTTCGATGCTGACGTCTCCAAATACATAAACAAGCTCTTTTTCATTTTCCCTTGTTCGTTTTTTCAAGTCTCCTGCAAGTACATACTACCCTAAGAAATCCTGATGGAAGGATCTCCCCTCTGTTACTTGATTTGAAGCCAAAAAACAAGACGATATGATACATAGAAGTATATATAAGGTTCTACACTTTTTTGATGTTAATCACAGGAAGAAGGCAAGAGGTATGGATCTTTAGAAGAGGATGTAATATAGGTCTTTTTAGGTGAACAAAGAAATAGAACAGTGTTCAGAGAATTTCAAATCACTGTAACACTGAGCAATAGATTGAAATAACGTTAACCAAAGTTAGAACTTGACAATCTATACTAAGTGTGTCTCTAGTTTCATCCTGTTTCATTTTATACATACATCATTTTCGTCTCTCATTCTCTTCTATGCAGCATCTGCAGTAAAAATCCGGCATTTTATCATCAGATCATGTACTGATGGCACACAGGACTTAATATTTCAGTTTGCATGGTGTTATTTGGTGAACAATCATGCGTGAAAATGAAAATTGCTAGGAAATGAATTTTTTTAACTTCTCCAAGATGCAAATTGCCTTTCAATTGTTGTATATGGAAGGGAACCATGACATTGATGCGCTCAACTAGTATAGTAAAAAATTCATTCTTTCCCCCTCAAATTTTCTTGTTTCTTTAATGGTTTTACTGTTTCCAAGTTTGTCGTTGGTGGGAAGAAACTTAACTTTGAATTGATTTGCTGTAACCAAACCATTTGACATGGTTTGCAATAGTCGAGGGAGTCAATTGACTCCCCTAGGAGACACAGTATCATGCATGGGATATTGTGTTCCATGCAATTTGTTGCTGAGAGATCCAACAGTCAAGTTCCAGTCTAGAGTTGGTAATTTTGATTCAAACTCGAAAATTTTGTTTGAATTTGAGTAATCCAATTTAATAAAAAAAATCAATAAATTCAATTAGAAATAAACAAGATTTTAAATTAAAAATAATTTAAATTTGAATGATTCAAAAGATTAGACAAAATGATTCAAAATCATACTAATTTAATTTTAAAATTTTAAACTTTAAATTTGAAACAATCTGATTACTCAAATTTAAAAAGATTTAAAATTTTTTTACTTGAAATAATAATACTTAAAATCTCTCCATAATTTGAGCTGATCCACTCAAACTGTTTAGATTGAATTAGGAACGAAAAAAAATAAAAAAATAAAAATTAATTGAAATTATTGTGTGCAATTCGTTTTTTTTTAGTTCAGATTAAATTCGAATATTAAATAAATAAATAAATATATATTATGATTGAATCGGATTTTAAATTAAAAAATAAAAAAAAAGACTAAATTAGATTATATATATTTTTTAACTTATATATTTTTTAAATTTTTATAAAATAAAAATAATTATTTTATATCTAAATTTATTTTAATATATTAAAAATCATATTAAAATAATATATAAAAATAAAAAAATTAAAATTTTAAAACTGAACCAAATTAAACTAATAAAATTTGATTTGAATCGAATTGTATAAAAATTTAGTAAATATTTAAATCAAAATTTAAAATTTCATAATATTATGTATTATAAAAATAATCTAATTAAATTTGATATAAACTATTATCATCCTTAGATTGAACGATCTAGCAAAGACCGGAATGGTACGTCAGAAGTAAGGCTAGGATTTTTAATTGGTTTTCAATCCAATTCATAAAGGGAGCACCATCTTGACCTCTCAGATTTGCAGTTCATCTTCATAAGTGACATCCACGTAAGATAAAAGAAGCATTTCAGAAGATCTTGACATTAAATTAATGCAAGTCACTATTTAATAAGATGACAAATTAACTTTGGAAAAAGATGGAGAGCAGCCGGTTGTGAAATGACAAACCAGCATCGTTGATGTCTATCTCATACTTTATCTTCATCTGTTTTAGCCGAATAATTTGTGAAGTTGACACCACAACTTGCTGGGGTCCTAGTAATAATATTTCTTAGTTCAAAATCAACCTGCTAGTCTCGTCTGGAAACATAATTTAACTCCGCCGTTCACGCAAGAATAATTACCTTTAAACAAAGCCGATGAGCGTGTACATATTTTTATGAAAGTATTCATGTTTGACACATATTTAATCATACTTGATTTGCGAAAGTATTTATGTTCCACACATATTCAACAAGTATAAAAGCCTAATTCTTAAATATATAAAAAAATTTTAAAAAGTAACCGTACTTATATCAGAAATATGCTCAGATCCTGCATCGACATCCGAGTTTGGGTAATAAATTAGGTAAGAATGTTCAGAACTTAACAGGTAAAATTTACGAAGACAAGAAAAAAGATTTCACGTTAGATCTGTAAAAATGTACTGTGGTAGAACGTATTTAGAATGTGACCTCTGCTAACCTCAATTTCATGAGATCAAATTGTAATCCAGGGCAAAAGGGAATAGCTGAAAAAAATCTTGCCCACGGCCCCAACATGCGATTTTTATTTCTTAGCAAATCATGCAAATTTTGTAGTACGATCATTACAGGGATTTAAAATGTGTCAAGATGACAACAACTAGTAGAATAAGGCCTTGAGCTTGAACTGATAATATCCTAACCAATCTTATACGTGATTGGCGCATTCTGAGGTAGCCATCAATGACAAAGGATAATGCGACGCAAAAGCAGCTAGAGCTGTACTCTACTTGCTGCTGGCCCCAGCAACCATTAACCCATTACCGCATGTCTACAGGTGCTTGACATAATATCTTTATTCATCCACTCGATATAATGTGGTGAAGATTCATTCTCACCGCAATAAACCCATTTTTGGGGCCAAAATGCCACTGATACTTTAAAAGTGCCAGTGACGTTTTGGCTGAAACATGACTCCATTGCAGTGAGAATGAATCTCCACCACCATTCACAAGAAGAAATATAAATCCTCTCCTCGAGCGATCTTGAGTTCATTCAATTGCTAATGAGTAATGAATATGTAGTTTTAGTTTTATTAATCCTTTCTTGGTTATGGAGGAAAGGTCAAAAACAGTTGTATGAATTTGCAGTGTACTTAGCCAATGAGCCACTTCCCAAATCCAGCCCACTAAACCCACATTAGACTGAATCTTAGGCATAATATGATATTAAGCAAGTTGAAATAAAAATATCCAACTCGTACATAAAGGGGACAAATAAGAAAAGAAAATGAAGTTCTACAAGATTTGGTAAGAAAAGAAATGATTGGTATATATGTTCTACAATTACCCCATTTGCTCGGATTGCATCACAGTGGCATCCACCGGTATAGACGACTGTGATAAGATGAGCACAAGGGGTTGAGTGGAAATGGCAAGTGTATCATTCATAAAATGTAAAACAAAAAGGAAAATCTGTAGAAATACTAGTTGAATAACTGCAACTTGTTTCAGGAGTTCTCTTGATTACAGTCAGGATGTCAGCCTTCATTCAGATTAACATATCATGTGAAAGCATAAAGAGTACCATAAAAATAACTGCTAACGAGAATTCACAACCAGATAATGGAGTGATAAATACATTGCTTATATGTAAATACATTGCTTATATGTATGTCTGGAGTAAAGACAATTTAGTGCACAATGATACAGGCATCACAATTTTATTGAGAAGACGTGAATGAGGAGTTGCTATACCTATCAGTCGCCACTAGTTAGTATAATACTCTCATCTACACGCCTTGGACTAGATGAAACTGCTGCAGGGATTTCGGAGGGTACACTGTCACAAAACAATTAAATGCAAAACAAGCTAACAAATCGATTTAAAATTACTGAGGTACCATATCTAGCTTACCCTAGCCTTGTAGAAAATTATAATCTGAATTTCACTCCAATACCTTGTTTTCAGATATAAAGCCCTTGCGGAGCAACTAAGGCTTATGCTAAATTGTAGTCAGTGTATCACTCCAAAACCGCCGAGTAGTTTCAGAGAACTAGGATATTAGACTGCTTGAAGTGGATGAGAGACCAATCTGCTACAGGAATTCCACTACCGAGAAGCTTTTGAAGCATGTTATCATTGCTTTTCATATTTCTTTGCGAACTCACTGAGTAGCAACCTTTGACGAAAAGCCAAATATTTATCTAAACTAGTTCCAGCCCACTGCTGGCAAAAGCGTTCATCACTTGGAATCAATGAACTAAGAGGAAATGGCCCCTTTGGAGCTTTCTTTAGGGAAACCAAGAATCGGTGGCGGGGTCGAATTCTCTGATTCAATGACACGCTCAAGTACATAGGATATTTAGTCAACGAGTGCACCTCATTATTAAGTTCATTGATCAAGTACATGTACTTAGGCTTTAGATTGTCCTCCAGAGAGAGAGATAACACCTAGAAACATATTCAAAATGTAAGAGAGAAGATTATCAGCATTTTCATGCACTTACAAGAAAGAGAACTAACCTGGGTAAGACTAGTCAAGATTTTCAAGATATCAGAGTTACACATCCCAATGCTCCTTAGGAAATTTATCTTGGGCAGTAATCCATCATCAATGCTGTAATGAAGAAGCTGGGGATGTCTCTTTACCATTTTCACAACACTATCTCTGGGGGCTCCTAACTCCTCTGAGAGAAACATATAGCGAGTATTCCAGGATATGTCAATCCGTTGAAGTAGAATCTGAGGGCTCAGCTGTACAACTTTACCTAAATCATTTTCTTTAATACCAACCTCCTCAATCAAGTATCTCACTGTGGGTTTTAATGATTTTTCAACACTATATGAAAACACAGCAGGCGAGTAAGCAATTATGTGCCCTATTCTGGAATTAGGAATCCCCAGACCCAGTAAGAAAGCCACATGGGACTTTAAGTTGTTCTCCACTGTGTATTCTAGAATTTGTGGTTGTCTCAAAAGTATTCTTCTAATGTCTCTCTGCTTCACACCAACACTCAACAAGTAGTCCAACCTTTCCCGGGCAGAACACACATTCTTTCGAAGACAAGGCATGTATTTTGCATACATTCGGATAAAATCTGATTCTTTAAGCCCAAAATTACTTAGGTAATCAAGAAGAGGGAACCATTTCTCATCCAGATCGATTTCATCTGACAACCGTGGATATCTGTTCTCTTTAGAGGTCCTTGACACCAGCTGCAATAGAAGAAAAGACATAAAGCTCCTCTACACCATTGGTACAGGTAACAGCAAAATTTGACAGTTTATCTTACCTTCCTCCCTCCATCAATACCAAAGGAACCAACTTCCTTCGCTTTGTTAGAAGTTTGATAAAAGTTTCCTACACTACTCTTCTTTAGGACATCATTACCATTTCCAACATCCATTTGGTCTTCAGCAATGATAAGACCTTGTCTTGATTTTAATGCTTTTGAGCCCTTGTGTTGTTCTTGTGGTCTTCGGTTTCCTGCACAAACAAATAAATCCTCTTTGTTAAACTCCTCCTAAACTTATGTCAAATGTTGTGACAAGCTCAAACGCATACCTTCTTTAACAATTCCCTTCTGTGATTTAAATTTCTTCCCGTTAATGCCATATTCATAAGTTTCAGCAAAGTCATCCTGAAATAACACATCCCCATTTAACACCAGAAGCGATAGCATATCCTACTAAAACATAAGCTCAATTGTTCAACTACAAAAAATCAATGCACAAAATACTTTCTAATCAAGCTCAATCCTAAAATCAATGCAAATACAGTAAAAAGAGTGATGGGTCATTTTCTACAATCCTAAAAAGTTCATACCATGTAGCAAATCACATGTTTTTAAAGCAAAGATTGCAACTTGAACAACCAATTACATATCTTTCTAACTATAGTTTCTACTTTTGCAGCGATTAAACATAAAACATTAGATACCATTAATGCAAATGCAGTAAAAAATACTGATGGGTCATTTTCTACAATCTTAAAACGCTCATAACATAAAGCAAAATCACATGTTTTTATTACAAATATTGCATCTTGAACAGCCAAGTACATATCTTTTTAACCATAGTTTCTACCAATTACATACGTTTGCAGCAATTAGACATAACATAAAAATTGCAGCTTTTCAATTAAGAAAAACTGACTGCAGAGTAAACTTACATTCATCAACCAATCATCTCCGAACATGTTATCATCATTTTCATCAAATTCTTCACCTTCTTCCTCATCCACCTCTTCCTCCTCCTCCTCATCAATATCGTAAGGAGTAATCTTTTGACCAAACCTTGACTTCTTATTAGACTTGAGAATTTTGGGATTAGAGTGACTTGATAATAATGCCACAAACTTCCCTTTCTTTAAGCTGACTCCATTGTTCAAAGCCAAACTCAAATTCCAAGGAGGAGGAGACGAGAAGGGAATTGAACTGAAATGATTCAAATTGCGAAGACACAAAGCTGCCATTTTTGAGACAAAGAGAAAGAGAATAAAATGAATAAACTTTAGCTACGGCTGTCAATGAAAGGTAGGGTTTTACTGGGGCTTTTAGTCAGAGCAGATTTTTGTTTTATCAAAAAAAAAAAATCGTTTTATGTGGTCAGAAACCTTGGCGTGACTCTAATAACTGCAAGAGGCCAACGTGGCCAAAGCTAAAACTAGTCGTTACGATTCCTTCTTGGCTATTAGCTTGAACAAAACAGCAGAGGCTGAAAATTCAACTACTCCACCATGGACGCTTCTCTTTGTACTGCTTATCCTTCGCTGACATCGCCAATCTCAGTACCCCAATCAAAACCCACGTTCACAAAGTATTCAAATCCAACGGTCAAGTTCACTTGTACACAAAACTGCAAAACTTTGATAGGAAACAAACATAGTCAACGGCTGACAACCAAGGTTGCTGCCAATATTCATGATGTTTCAGCCGTAGCTGATCCTGCCCGTGCTGATATTACATGGCAAATTGTTGTTGGAGCTATAGGTTTTTAAAATAAGATTATCTCTGCCGATTTTGATTATAGTTTTTTTTTTTTTTGAGTTCAATGTAAGGTTTTTTGTTTATGCTTTTTTTCTTTTTGCAGCTGGGGTTACGCCTTTCGTTGTTGCAGGTATTGAATTCAGCAAAAGAATTGTAAGTAAAATTTAAATCATTAATTCCTTATTTGGCTAGTTCTTCCGTAGAAGTTAAAGACAAACCATCCCTTTAATGTACAATTAAATTTACAAGCTGTATTTTGGATGGATTAATAATGGTATCGGGGATATATATGTATGCATGTATGTATGAATGTATGAATGTGTATGTACATCATAAATGCTTTGGAAAATTTTCTGTGTGTGTTCAACCTTGTGTTTGAATCTTGTTTGTTTTTATTTTATTGATTGTAGATTGCACAAAGAAGGTGTGAAGAATGTGGGGGCTCAGGACTTGTTTTCAGGAACAATGATTATTTTAAATGCCCTGAATGTGGTACGCCTTCTTAATTACTTTAATTTTATACTTTCTTGATCATCAAATTTCTGCCTCATTCTATATTCTATGCTGGCAGGTGGGTTTCTTCCATGGCAGTCATGGAAAAGATTCTTCACTGGTTAATACTCTCTTGAATTGATCTTTCAATGTTATAAGATTTCCCATAAGTTAGTTCACACTTTCCATTTTATGGTTCAGGAATGTAGTTTCAGCGCATAAAGAAGTTGAAACTTGAAGGGAAAGCTGTAAAAACTTTCCGGCATGTTAACTCTTATATGGTTTTGGATTCAAATATACAACCTTTTTGTGAACAAAAAACAGTGTTTGATTGTTACCTGTGGTCAAGTTTGTACAGGTCAGATTATTCCTGAACTACATATATGATACTTCAAAGTAGACATGGATATAGCATCTCGAATCTTGACCTTCCGAATATAAGCCTGAACACGCCTGTGCCTATATTTGACACGAACTTGTATCAGACACTTACTCCTAGCTTCGAGCAATGGTTTTTACAAAGAATAATAAATCACTTTTTATTTTCATAACTTCATGCTTGATGAACAATTTTTTTATACTGTTTAGTTTCGGAATAGGTGTTCAATTAAGCAGAGAAACATGTTTTTGGCTGCTCAAGTACTTGTGAACTGCAAAAGCTAGTTTAAAGATGTTTCCTTCACAAACGCAAGTGCAGATGGAGAAAAAACCAGACAAAAGGATCTAGAGGACAAGAGCATGCAACTTCAGACTCCACTGCTTTTGAATGATGACATTATTAGCATTTAAGGACCGAGATTCTTTCCTTTTCTTTCCCAAATTACTTTGCCTACACCCAAAACTGACCTTAAGACTGGCTGACACATAGGCAATAACCTGGCAAAAGAACAAGCAATGTAAGCAACACCTGGGGCAGATTCCAGGTCTCATTTCAACTATATATCAAAGATGTAACGCAGAAGAGAGCTGCATAGAAACATCCACTCTCCTGTCTTGCTTATCCATAACTATCAAAGTCGATTTCCAGGCTCTCCTCATCAAAGGAGAAATGGCTGTTTATTTATCTTGTTGGTCTGAACTTCCAACGGAACTCCTCTCTTCCATTGCTGCATGCCTGGACACTAGCTTGGATGTTCTTCATTTTTGAACTGCATGCAACTCCTGGAGAAGTTCTGTTCGTGTGCCACCAAAATCTCCTGCTTTGCCGGTGGTAGTCCACTTCATTGTCAACCATCCCTCGAAGCCTCTTGCTTCCTTTCTCATATCACAGACAACAGTTTACCGCATTGCTCGACCAGGCTTTGAAACTCATTCTAATCACAAAAGTTGGTTCATCAAGCTCGAAGAAACCAAGCAAGACAACAAGTTTCGTGTGTTGAACCCTTTTTCACAGCATCCGTTCAAGAACATGCCTGCCTACTTTCCTAAGGAGCTGAACCATCTTCAGGGTTATGGAGACGGAAAGGGCTTTCAATATTTGACAGATAAGGGAAGATGGTGATGCTGAGTTCAATGAGGCCAATCCCTGGATTCGTAAGATCAAGCTTGGTTCGAATTTTGATTCAAGTTCTGTGGTTGTTGCTATCAAACGAGGAGACTTGTGTCGCATGAGAGTTGATAATGATATTCAATGGTGTTTGCTTGATTCTGATGTTCAGTGTCGAGACATCACCAACTTCAATAGGAAGTTCTTTACTGTTGATCTTTATGGAGTTATTTTGGGGCTTGACGAGAACTCTTTTACCCTGGACGAGATATACTCACCTCTGGAACAAAAGGTCTCGGAGGGTGAAAGATATTTTCTGGAGTCATGTGGCCATCTTTATATAGTTGTTCGAGACTTCTATACTTGCCCTGGTCAAGTTCATTATTGTTGTTATTTTTGAAGCAAAGAAAACTTTACTCACTATTGCATTTCTTAACATCAGAAACATTACAATTTAAAGCCTAATTAATAACTATCCACTAAAATCATAATCCTAAGATTAAGCCATGACCACCAGTATGAATAACAAAAAAAATAACCAACACTAGAAAAACAGGAACAACATGAAACATTCAATGAATCCACATTAGCAGTCCTAAACACATCTTCTAACACTCCTCCTTGCTTTAGGAGCTGCAAACACCAAGTTTTGTCCTAAAAAATTCAAACTTGCTAACTAGCAGTGGCTTGGTGAAAACATTTGCAACCTGATCTTCTGTTTTGCAATAGACAAGAACAACAGCTCCATCTTTCTGTACTTCCCTTAAGAAGAATAATTTAATATTAAAATGTTTAGTTTTCTCGTGAAACATAGGATTTTGAGAGATAGCAATGGCAGCTTGATTGTCAACAAGAATCTTCGTGCTTTCCTCCTACTCTAAGTTAAGATCAATTAAAATCTTCCTTAGCCACAGAGCTTGATTAACAGCAGCTGTTGCAGCAATAAACTCTGCTTCAGCTGTGGATTGAGCTACAATTTCTTGTTTTTTCGAGCTCCATGAGAAAACACCAGAACCAAATGTGAAACAATAGCCTGAAGTGCTCTTCATATCATCAATGGAACCTCTCCAATCACTGTCTGAGAAATCAACCAGCTTGAACTATTTGCTCTTTGTGTATTTAATGCCAAAATCACTTGTGCCTTTCACATATCTAAGCACCCTCTTTGCAGCCTTGAGATGCCATTCACTTGCATAATGCATAAACCGAGACAAAATGCTTACAGCATTCAAAATGTCAGGCCGAGTTGCTGTGAGAAACATTAAGCAACCAATCAGGCTTCTGAAATATGCCTGATCAATCTTCTCTGTTCCATCTTCTTTACAGAGCTTTTCTTTTGAGTTCATTGGTGTCTTCATTTCTTTACATTCTTCAAGTTTAAACTTTTTCAGAATCTCTTTGGCATATTTCTTCTGACAAATGAAGACTTCATGTTCATTCTGTTTGATTTCCATTCCAAGAAAAAAGTTCATTAATCCAAGATCTGTCATTTCAAAAAACTCCATCATCTCTTGCTTAAACTTTTTCATAATACTTGTGTTGTTTCCTGTCACAAGTAAGTCATCCACATATAGTGAGATGATAAGAATGTCAGCTCCATTGTGCTTGACATATAATGTTGATTCAGATAAGCTTTTGACAAATCCCAAGTTCTGTAAATGTTCATCAATCTTGCTGTACCAAGCTCTTGGAGCTTGCTTCAATCCATAAAGTGCCTTTTTAAGAAGATAAACCTTGTCTTCTTCTCCTTCATTGACATAGCCTTCTGGTTGTTCTACATAAATCTCCTCCTACAGAAAACCATTCAAGAATGCTGACTTGACATCTAATTGGTGCACTTTCCAATTCTTTTGTGCTGCAACGACAAGTAAAAGCCTGATAGTGTCGAGTCTAGCGACTGGTGCGAAGGTATCTAAATAGTCCACACCGAGTATTTGAACATATCCTTTGACCACGAGTCTAGCTTTATACTTGTTGATTGAGCCATCAGCATTAAGCTTGGTTTTGTATACCCATTTGACTCCAATTACTTTTCTGTTTTGGGGTCGATCAACCAACTCCCATGTTTCATTCCTTTCAATCATGAATAGCTCCTCCTTCATTGTAGCAATCTAATTTTGATCCGTCTTGGCCTCTTCATAATTTGTAGGTTCACACACAGCAATATTGCATCTTTGATAAACATCATAAAGTAGTCTTGTACCTCTGATAGGACTGTCATCCACCATTTCATTCTCTCAATCTCCAATGCTAGGAAACTTGAGCTTGTGCTCTTTTAAGGTTAGATCCATCTTTTTTGCATCATCCTAGTTTCACTCTTCATCTTTCATAAAGTGCACATCCCTCCTTATAATAATTTTTCCAGTTTGTGGCTGAAAAACTTTATAAGCTTTTACAACTGAGCTGTAGCCAATGAAGATGCCTGGAAGTGCTCTTTTATCTAATTTATCTTTTTTGGTCTATGGAACATAAGTGAAGCACAAACATCTAAATATTTTAAGGAAATTCAGAGATGGTTTATAACCATACCATGCCTCAAAGGGTGTTTGATCCTTCACTGCTCTTGTGGGAAGCCTGTTTTGCAAAAAAAAATAGTATTTACTGTTTCAGCCCAAAATTGCTTTGACAGGTTCTTCTCATGTAGCATACATCGTGTCATCTCCAATATGAATATATTCTGTCTCTCACTTACTCTATTTTGTTGTGGAGTGTATGGAGCGGTTAATTGATGTTGGATGCCTGCCTCTTCATAAAAATGAGTGAATGCTTCAGAGGTGTACTCTTTGCCATTGTTTGATCTGAGAGTTTGAATTCTACAACCACTCTCATTCTCAACTCTGGCTTTAAAGTTCCAGAAGACTTGAGCCACCTCTGACTTGTACTTTAAAAAGAAGATCCAACACATACGGGTGAAATCATCAATGAATGCAACATAATAAAGACTACTTTTCAAAGAAGGCATTTTTTGTGGGCCTGCAATGTCAATATGAATTAATTGTAACTTGTTTGATGCTCTCCATATTGCCTTGGGAAATGGTTTCCTACTTTGCTTTCCAAACTGACATGCTTTGTAGTTTGGAATATGATTATCAAGTTCTGAAAAATCATTTACCATCTTCTTAGATTTCATATGCAGCAGCCCTTGATGATGATAGTGCCCGAGCCTTTTGTGCCATACTTCAGTGATATTTTCTTTAATTGGGAAAGCAATTTGCTTCTCTTCCAATAGATTTATAGCAAAGCTTTTCCCTTTCATTTTTACTTTGAACATATCTTGGCCAACTGCATCTTTAATCAAGCAACTTTTATCTTCGAACACAACTTTATAACCCTTTTCAATTAGTTGTCCAACACTTAACAAGTTTTGATCAATTTTAGGGACATATAATACATAAAAAATGAACTTTGTACCTGAACAAGTTAAAATTACAACTGTTCCTTTTCCCTTCACAGTTATGTACTTGCCATTACCAACTCAAACTTTCGATGAGTTTACGTTGCTTAGTTCCTTGAATAGATCCTTGTCATGTGTCATGTGGTTAGTACAACCACTATCTATAAGCCAACTCTCACTTGATTCGATGTCGGAGAAACATGTAGCTACGAACAGGTGATCTTCCTCCTCTTGATCAGCAATCTTTGCATCTTCACCATGTTACAGAATTTTGTTTTTACAGATAACAGCTTCATACCCCATCTGATTACATTTAGTGCATTTAGCATCAGGTCTTCTCCAGCATCTAAATGGAGAATGACCCTTCTTTCCACAATGTTGGCAAGGTGAATAGGATTTCTTCTGATTTTCATTCTTTCCTTTTGCATTGGCTGATGCAGTACTTGCCCCATTTCCTTCAAAATCGTTTTTCTTCTTTCTTTTGCTTTTGGCCACATTTTGATGCTTGACTGCCAAAGCTCCTTCAATTGTTGTATCTTTCCTCATCAGTCTTCTTTGTTCTTGTGCTTGCAAAGCGTTAAGCAATTCTGTTAAGGAAATTTTTGACAGATCCTTTGTATTCTCTAAGGCAGTGATGGTTGCTTCATATCTTTCAGGTACTGTAACAAGAATTTTTTCTACAATTCTTGAGTCAGTAATTTCATATCCAAGAAGCCTTACTTTGTTTGCGATACTCAGAAGCTTATCGGAGTAATCTTTAATCGTCTCGGAGTCCTTCATTCTTTGAAGTTCAAATTCCCTAATCAAGTTAAGGACTTGCATCCCTTTAATTCTTTCATCTCCTTCATATTCATTCTTGAGATAATCCCATATCTCTTTTGTTGACTTCAGAGACATGATACGAGTGAAGATGATGGATGAGACTGCAGCAAACAGGCAAGCCTTTACCTTTGATTTCTTTGTCTTCTTTTCTTTCTGTGCTTTAATCTGTGCCATGGTAGGATTGTTTGGAAGTGCAGGAATTTCATAGTCTTCTTTCACTGCTTCCCAAAGATCTAAAGCTTCCAAGTATGTCTCCATACGTACTGCCCAAATCTGGTAGTTGTCTCCGTCGAACACCGCCGGAGCAATTGCGGAGAAACTGGCTTCAGCTTCCATGACGCGTCAGTTTCACACATAGATCCCTTAAGAAGAAAGCTCTGATACCAAATGTTGTTATTTTTTAAGCAAAGAAAACTTTACTCACTGTTGCATTTCTTAACATCAGAAACATTACAATTTAAAGCCTAATTAATAACTACCCACTAAAATTATAATCCTAAGATTAAGCCATGACCACCAGCATGAATAACAAAAAAAATAACCAACACCAGAAAAACAGGAACAACATGAAACATTCAATGAATCCACATTAGCAGTCCTAAACACATCTTCTAACAATTATGATTGAAGAATTTATGGTTTTGTTATGGAAACTAGAGTTGATGATGTCCATGTGTCTGTTAAGTTCAAAGTTTACAAACGGATCTCTAGTCAACATCAGCAGAATAGGTATGATTGGGTGGAGGTGAATGATTTGGGTGATCAAGTGTTCTTCGTGAGTACTGATTGCTCATTTTCCTTTTCAACTGGAGACTATGATGGGTGCCATGGGAACTGCATTATCTATGTTGATGAAATAGACAAAATTCAGCATCTTAATAATGAAGAAAGTGATGAAGAAGACAAAGACATTGATGGACTTAGGCAACTAAGGAATGGAAAGGTCGTATTGTTCAACTTAGCAGATCGCTCCTGTGCACCTCTTGCATTTTTCCCACAATATTTGGCTATGTTCTGGCCTCCTCCAACATGGCTGATGTGGAATCAGGGTCATCTAGTTCCTGAATACTGTAAGTTCAGAGTACTTATATTAGTTCCATTTTAGTAGAAACCTCGAATGGTGATTGTTAGCTTAACCTTGTTTTGACAGATGATGTGCTTGTTGATGTTTTTTACTTCATTCATGCAAACTTCTCCACATAATGAGATAATGTTGCTTGCATAATTCATTGCTAGTTATCTTTCTTCAAGGTTGATAGTAGTGATTTTTCGTGTTGCCAAGTAATATTTCTGCTGACTACGACCAGGATTAGGCATTGTTAGCATTAACGTATGTTGATTTTCTTTACCTTTTGTGCACTATGAAAATTTGCATGAATCTGCTAGTAGCAGAATAATATTAAAGATTCCCTCATGAATTCAACTTTCATTGGATAGCTATGTTATTTAGGTTGTCAGTTCTGTCATGCTTTAACATGTGCCCGGTGCTTGAGGTAGTTGTTCTGTATTGCTTTAAAGCAACCAGACAGCTTAACGACAATAAAGCAATCACCAAATGTTATGCTTTCAGCTGAAATTTTATTGAGTTCATACGTTATAGTCTAACATATCTAGGACATAATCAGACAAGAAAAAATCGTAGGATGATCACTTGTTGGAGTCTTTTTTACAGGTGTCATTCCTTAAATTGATCGATTCTTGTACTAATTTAGGTAGTTGAGATGGAAAAATCCTGTTCTTGTGGAGGCCAATTGAACTTGCACTTATTAAGTGGTTAAATTAAGAAGCTATGTATTAACACTTGAATAATTTGCCTTTTCTGAATAACAAGTTAACCATATGTAAATGTCCAAGTCAATGATGATTCAAATGGATACATCATTACTAAAGAGTCATGGCTAGATTAGAGTCTGCAGAATAACTGAGGCTATAGATTTTAAGTAAGTCTGCTCATTAATCATAATTCTATTGAACTGCAATGTAGCAGTCCTAGGTTGTGTCGCTTGCTTCCTGCTTTAACATGTGACACAGTTTCACTGAATAACCTACATTGCCATGAGTGCAAACAAACAGCTTTGCTGATGATGTTACAATCACAGGTCCGGTAATTGAGCTGAAACGTGTATGTGTAACATATAGCTAAACCCTATCACCCAATCAGCGAAGTTTATAGCACAAGGCTCTCAGATATTATATCTTTTTGACAAGTATCATTGGTAATTGAGATGGTTCTTGTGCTGGTACTCTTAACTGATATTGAAGAATCTTCTGACACTTAGGAGGTCGATTAATTGCTGCATTTCTACGAGACTATAAACTAGCCGCTCATTTTCTATATAGTTTCAGAGCATTTACTTCTCATTTTTTGTTATAAACAAGTAGTGTCTCAATCCAATACCATCATGTTAAAGACTGATGGCTTTTTTATGTTTGTTTTCCTGGCCTAACATTCCTGAAAGAGTGAAGAAGTCTGAGGCTTATCAAATCTTCTCAGATTTGACTGATTGATTATTTATTAAGCATTCTATTTGCAGTGTCAAACATTAAATTCAGTTTGATGTCATGCATCAGCAGATCAATTACATGAGGAGATAGTCATAGTACCAAAGCATTAATATATCAGATTTCCTAGTTTGGATTTCAATTTAATGCCATCTTCCTATTAACTTGTATCGGTTCTATTCTTTTGACGCAGATGTTCCAAAGACGACTATCTGCTTGAAGCAGGCTGCAGCACAAGCGCAATAAATCTCTAGTATCTACTTCCTTCTCTAAGATCCTGGAAGAAGGAATAAATAAATTAGCTGTTGTTGTTAGTTTCATCGTCTTTTATCTGAACAATGCAAGGTGGGAGCTGTTTCACCACCATACTGTTGTGTCTTGTTGTTTTTAATCTGTAATAAGGTATGTTAGACTGCTGTTTCCTATCTGTCTGGTTAAAGGTAAGAGACTTTTCCAAACTCATGGTAATGTTTTGTTGTTTCCAATATGAAATCCAGACGGTTTGATTTTGATGTTCGTTATCTCTAAATATTTAAGCGGTTCTTATGTCTGAATTTAGCATAACACCAAGCAAATATCATGTTTCCAACATAATATGTCAGTTTATAGATTTGATTTCTTGAATAGGCAATGTCATTTAAACAGCTGCTTAGAGATTTTAGCTTGTTACCAGCTATAAAACTTGCTTGCAGTTTTAAAATGAAGACCAATATCTGTTTTAGTAGGAATCAGTTCAGGAAAATGACTGCCTCTGAACTGTTCTAGATACTAAACATAAAAACTGTATTTTTAACAAGTTTCCCATCTCAGTTTAAAGAATCCTGAGATTTTACCAATGCTTAATTGCCGAAACTGAATACCCTTTTCCAAGTTCAATTTTTATGGTCTAATTTTTATTCCATATTCTGCCATTTCCTTTTATGCATATCAGAAATATCTGAAATGATTTTAACTATGCTTACCTTTCCCCTTGAATCAAATGGCTTGAACCTGTCATCCTATTTCTGTTGAATTATGTACATTTAAGTTTTGTAAGAGGTGAGTATCAGATTCGGGTACAAGCCCAACACGGGTAAATTCATTTTTTTCTAGGTTTTCCATATATTTGGAGGGTCAGACCTCCGTATAAAAATGAAAAGTTGGAGCAACATGGCATTTAAGTTTTCTCTAGCTCATATCTTGCCTTTGAAATTTATTCCTTCTGAAAAAAAAAATTTTCATTATTGTCACTACCTTAACTTGCAGTCCAAGCATATTTAAAGCCTGTTTATAGCATGTATTTCACCATATCAGCACTGTATCGACAACAGCCTCTCATCTGTTTAAATCTGATGATATAATCCGGATGACTTTATAATCTTCGATGCGTCATTCCTTATGTAAATCACCATTACCATAATAAACAAAATTCCTTGTCAACTTCACATGGTTATTGATGTGTTTGATTGCATTTGTTAGTCAAACTTCCTCTTATAAACCAAATAAATCAAACGCCATGTTTTCATTTGCACTCAGAAGTCTTGTAAATGATTTCCTTTGAAAATCAAATCAAATCAAACCACCTTGAAAGAATCCAGGTTGATTTTTTGCATTAGACATTTGCTGTCAAGGATTGATGTTGTGTTTTTTGGCTCTTGTCTAGATGTAGACAATGCAGAAAGGTCCTACTATACATATTTCTCCTTTGAGATTGATATCATTACCACAAGAAAGTCACTTCCTACATAGATTTGATTGGCTAGATATATTTTTATTTGGACTTGAAAAATTCCCTTTTCATAATAAAGGATAGAAGATTTCAACATTGACTTGTGAAGTATAAGGACAAGCTGCTGATGGCTGTATATATTTTAAAAGCAATAATTTCAAAGAGAAAGACCTTAATTTATTACACAACATTGTTTGTTTCATAAAAAAAAATTATATTTTTATAACGCGATTACGGGTATTGATTATTTTGAATCAAATTGAAACATATAAACTCAACATTGATGCAAATAAAAGAAGTGAAATTAAGCCAGAAAATTTGGTAAAAATAAATGTGAAATATTGCATCAACGTGACATAGTGCTGATGAAAATTCTTACAAATTGGAAACCATATGTATTACGCAATTATTTTGGACTAGTTGGGAGGAAATATTGAGCAAATTGCAAGGAGTTCCACAAGTTTTCTTCACTGATGCAGCCTTTCCATAAAGCTTAGTGTTTTCTATTGGACACTGACATTGCAAAAGACTACAAATTAAGACAAAAGGGAAGAACAGCAATTTTGTTAACAGGTTTGGAACACAACAAGGCTTATCTCTCCTATGTAGGGTCCCTTACTGGTCGGCAGAAATCATGGGGTGACATTGAAAGTCAACCATTCTAGTGTGTTTTCATGTTTGATATGTATTTAACAAATTTGGTTAATTCTCAGCATATAAAACTTTGATAATATATCAGAACATACCTAACGGTTTTGTCTTGAACAACATTTTTTTGTGGTCTTCAAGACATCTACGAGGTCTAATATAAGTACGTGTTTTTCTTAATAACGCTAAACCTATTAACACCAAAATTGATATGTGTCGGACATGATTACTTTTTAATACAAAATCATAAAATATATTACTTCATTTGATCTACAAATACCTTGCCACCTTCCCCAATTTTAATTTGATTGATATTAATAAATAAAGAACATAATGTTAGTTGTGGATTAGTATAATGCACTAATGCTTTTTTTTTTTTTTTTAAGATTCAAAGAGACTATTTTAGAAGGCAAGGAGGTAGGTTATATAATAATTCTCCCATCCCCTCAGATTCTGTTTTTCATTGTACATGTGCATAAGTAGTCAAAGGTATTTTAGACTTTTAGACCCCACATGAAAAGTTTGATTAATTGGATTCTAACATTGGTTTTTTTTTTATGAGAAATCTAAAATTAAATAGATTTTTCAATTCTCATATTAAAATAAAATATATCATACAATTTTAAAATAATGATTGAAAATCGTAGATAATTTGAATAAAAATTCACTTATTAAAATCAAATCTAAAATTTTTATGTCCTAATTAACGATATTTTTCAATTGAATCAATTTTTATTGATGATTTTAATATTGATTTTATCGTAAAATTATAACTGTAAAACATCATTTAAAATTATTATCACCGTGTTGAAATATCGTTTTAGACATTTAAACACTATAAAACATCACTCAACAATATTTTAAGCTTGATTAAAGGATATGGATCCTTGTCATTGTGTGACAAAATTTCATCCCATTATAAATTGTGCAAGGAATTCATCTTTACCATGGAGAAGTTAAGCATATGACAAGTTGTTGGAGACCGAAGGAGAGGAAGAAAGAGAGGAACTTCGTTTCTGTGTGTTACAATGGGGGAGGCTTAAACCGTGTGGGTCCTGTTATATTGCATGATGGAAGGGCCTAAAGCCTAAAGCAATCCTATCCATTTACCATGAACAAATCTGTTTTATCTTTTACTTCCTCATCAGACTAACTTTCTCAAAGTGTCTCCTGAGGAAACAACACTCAGACCAAAATACCCTTGTCCCCATTACAGCTAAAATTATACTTTCTTGGCCATTTTGATTTTTTTTGAGACAGTTTACTTGAATTACATACAAAGAAAGAAGAAAGTTTGCAACATTGAAAAATTGATGCATCTAACATTTTTGTTCTCTTACATATAAAAATCAAGAACTTCTAGAATTAGCTTGAAATCCTTCAAACGTGTTTTATGAACATTTGATTATCTATGTAATTATTATAATCATGAAGGAATGATTTCTCATTATCTAACAGTAACAGCACATGGTTTTTCATTAATTTAAATAAATTATTGATTGACAGTAACAGCATCTCTTGGTATAATTTTAACAAATTATTGATTAACCCCCCAATCATTCGTACAATACATGGTACATACTACTCATTACCTAAAAACAAAATTATAGAAGACTTTTTTTTGACATTTTCAATTATACATGGAGGGTAAATCATTTGACTATAATTTGAAGGCTCTAAGCTAACATTCCAATAAACCAGAATTAAAATTTTCAAACTTTTGCTTAATTAAATGTTGATTAGCTTACCTAATCACCAAAGAGATAAGGCTCAAGGATAAATAATAATAGTTTGGACCCACATTGATTAGTTTAATTTTCTTTAGCTATATTGAGAGTAATTTAAAAGTAAAATTTTAAATGTATCTATATAAAATTAGTTTTTTAAATTATTTGAAAATTTTTAATTTTAATAAAATTTGAAATGTCTTTGATCATATTATAAAAAAATATTTTTATGTATAAATATAAGTTTGGTGCATACTTTGTTGGTTGAAAGGAGGAATTTTGGTCTTTTTAAATACTAAAAATATGGGAGGCAGAGCCCACAGAAGAACTAACGAAAGAGACACAATACTGAATCTGAAGATGGGCGGATGACATTTGGTTAATGTCTTAGGTAAGGATTATTACATTAATCAACTTTCTGTCATTTTGTCAGTGGCAGTCATGTAATTTTCATAACAAAGCACGTCATTTGTGGGGGCAACTTTCCTATAAAGTGAAGGGTGATACACCTTGCAGGTTGGGGACACAATGTACTTGCCTGTTCTAGTTTTGGATTCTCCTTTGATCCTTGTCCTTTGAAACCCAAACTGAGCACCAAAAATCTGAGGTTGGAAGGGGAATCAAACAAGGTATGTTAGAAAAATCTTAGTTGTATTTTGTATTGAAATTGACAAGAGTCTTTGTTATGTTCTTTGATTTCTTGAAGCTTTTCTTTTGGTGAGTTTGGTTTATAGTTTGTTGCTTTGTTCTGTTTTTTTTTTTTTTTTTGCTTCTTCTATAATAAAAATGGTATGTTTCAGGTCTGAAACGAGTTTGTTTTGCTGATAAAATGATGATGATGACGACCAAGCAGCTTTTTAGCTAAATTTTAATGTCAAATTTCTGCTTTTTTTTTAGCTAATATATAGTAGTTTGAAAAAGGTATAATCTTTATGTTCATGCATATTTGGAAGTGATTGACTTTTCTTCTTTCAGCCTTGCTTTATTGGTTTTGTAAAAGATTTGATCATGGCTTTAAACATCATGTCTGAGCATGTCCACGAAAATCTAAAACAAATTATATAGCTTCATTCTATATGATGAATGCTCACTTGGTTTTCTTTTTCTTTTTTTTTTCATTTTTTCCCATTGTTTTGATCCTCAATTTCAAAAGGCAATAAGGTTTGCATACCTATGTTAATGTAGAACTGATTGAAAACAGATTCTGCAGAACTTTTACCTTGTTTTTACAGGAAAAGCTTGGTTGCATGAAGCTGTGATGATTTCTGTATTTTCCATGAATAAACTGCATTTTTTTCTTTGAAGTTCCTATATAAACCTTTTTCATGTTAATTGCTTGCTGATATTTGGTCTTTGTGCTATTTTGTTTGCTAAAAGACACGTTTACGAAACGTATTAATAAAGTTTATTTTATCTGAAGATTTTCTGTGGTTTGAACTGATGGTGGGTTCTCGTTAGTATCATGCTTTAGCTTTTCCTATTTTGGTGGAAGATGTTTTTATATCTGCCACCATCCTTGCATACCACCAAACTACCTAACTTTTCATTCATAAAATCTTCAGTGCTGACTGTGTTAGATGTTGGCTATGAAACTGAAGTGCCTTTGTCATAAAGCAATCTCTTTATTCACCTTGTTTAGCTTGTCAAGTATGATCTATATTTAGGACATAAAATTTTTACTGTTGTCCATCTTATGTGTGGCACACGTGCTAGATTGTTGGCACATTTAGCATCTGCCTGGTCTTGTGCTTTTGTACCCGATGGTCGTCATCACTATTAGTCAGATTCTTTTGGGAAGATTCGAACTACCTATGTTCCTTCCCTTTTACTTTTTCTTTTTTATTTATTTATTTATTTATTTTGCATCTTTTTTCTCTTTTGATGCAAAGGAACTATAAAGGTATGGCTGTGAATTGTTTCCATGACATCCTGTTAGCGATCCACATTTCCGCTGGTATAAATGAAAAGATGGTGTTACTTTTTGGGATAAATTAGTATTATCTGCTTTTTCTATTATAAAATACACCTAATGTTTTTGTCAACCTTCTATGCAGAATACATCATCTCATTGATGTGTTATCCATGCCAAGCAGCAATTCTGGAAAATGTCTGGGTGATGTAACTTAGACATAACAAGCGCCCGCAATTAAATTTAAAGGCGTTTTTATCGGAAAGGCTTTCTGTTGCTGTCTGTCAATTGGTAGCATTAGACCAAAGAAAATTGTCCAATGAAAGCGTCTCAGAAACATAAAATTACAGGCAAGTACTTTGACCAGGGTTTAGATATGTACCAGTCATGCTCTGATGATTGCGGCAATGGTGTGCAACATTCGGTCCAAAATTTGGAACAATACTGTACCCTTGAATCGTCGTCTGGTATGCAGAATTCTTCTACAGCCAGTTTCTCACCCAATGGCAGTCCTGCTTCACAGCAAAACTACTCTTACCCGTCAGACCTGCATCATTCCCCAGACAATACATGTGGTTCACCAGTAACTGGTTCTCGTGTAACAGACAATGAGCATGACTTGAGGCACATGATAAGACATCTGGAAACTGCTATGCTAGGAATCGATTCAGATAATTTTGACATTCATACTATCACCGCTTCTGGTGAAGCCACTGAAGTCTCCATTGAAGCAGGGAGGTGGAAATACATGATGGAGATGATCACCAGAGGGGACCTGAAAGAACTGCTTTATGCTTGTGCAAAAGCTGTAGAAAATAAGGATATGTATACGGCTGACTGCTTGATGACACAGTTACGTCAAATGGTGTCAGCTTCGGGTGAACCAATACAACGTATAGGAGCCTACATGTTGGAAGGGCTTGTTGCAAGGCTGGCCTCTTCAGGAAGTTCTATCTACAAAGCCTTAAGATGCAAAGAGCCTGCCAGTGCTGAACTGCCTTCATACATGCACATACTCTATGAAATCTGCCCATATTTCAAGTTTGGGTATATGTCAGCGAATGGTGCAATTGCTGAAGCCATGAAAGAAGAAAGTAGAGTCCATATAATTGATTTTCGGATTGCACAAGGAAGCCAATGGTTGACCCTAATTCATGCACTTGCTAATCGTCCAGGAGGACCTCCAAGTATACGTATTACAGGCATTGATGATCCTACATCAGCTTATGCCAAAGGAGGAGGACTTGAAATAGTGGGGCAGAGACTATGCAAGCTTGCTGAGTCATGTAAGGTACCCTTTGAATTCCATGCTGCTGCTATTTCTGGTACCGAGGTTCAACTTGAAAACCTTGGAATTCAACCTGGTGAAGCTATTGCTGTAAATTTTGCGATGATGCTGCATCACATGCCAGATGAAAGTGTGGGAACTCAGAATCATCGGGACAGGCTGTTGAGGTTGGTGAGGAGTTTGTCTCCAAAGGTGGTGACTCTTGTTGAGCAAGAAGCCAATACAAACACTGCCCCGTTCCTTCCCCGTTTCCTAGAGACAATGAATCATTATTTAGCAATCTTTGAATCAATTGATGTTAGTCTGCCAAGGGAAAACAAGGAGCGGATCAATGTTGAACAGCACCGTCTGGCCTGGGAGATTGTCAATATTATAGCATGTGAGGGGCCTGAGAGAGTAGAACGTCATGAACTATTGGGAAAGTGGAGATCAAGGTTTACCATGGCTGGCTTTACACCCTGTCCATTAAGCTCATTTGTCAATGCTACCATCAAAGTTCTTCTGCAACGCTATTGTGATAAGTATACACTTGAAGAGAGAGATGGAGTTCTTTATCTCGGCTGGATGAATCGAGCTATAATTGCTTCTTGTGCATGGAGATGCTAACCAAACAATAGTTATTGTTACTTTGTCGATAGAACCTTTATTTGAAAAACATTTCTTTACTTTTTCCTCTTAGGCATACACAAGATTAGCCCTTATTTGATAAGAACATCCTTTTCGGGGATGCAATGAAAACAAGGCCTTTGTACAACTGAATGTTAGTTGATTAATTCCATTGGTTAGCTGTCAGTATTGCAGCTTGTCTTGCATATGCTTTTTCGACTCACTAGCGTTTACATTGGTGGACATGCCAGCAAAACTTTCTCGTTTTTCATTTTTGGTTAGTCGTTTGCCTTTTATGGAAATATAACAGATGTGGTGCTGGCTTGTTCAGTTGGGGCCATTTGCCAGAAAATGTTCACATTTCAGTTGAAAACTATGACAAAACAGGGAAGTATAGCACAAGGATTTTGTACAGTCAAATATTCTAAGTTGGACTGAGGTCCTTCACGTCCAATCGAATCAAATTCTTCATATACCCCATCAATGGTATTGGCAATCCTCCCAGCAATAACCCTGCAAACTATTACGGCCCTCTTCAAATTCTTCAACTTGAAAGAAACCATACTGTCACTCACTTCCTCACTACATGTACTCAATCTAATCCCATTTTTCCTGGTAAATTCCATGTCAAATCTCGAATGAATTATCCGGCAGGCTCGACAACTGGGATCTTTACAAAGCTCAGACACTTGCTTCAGCTTTCTGCTGCAGCAGGCCATTGTAGTGCCATAGAATAGTAACAGCTCATTTCCATCTACCATGCTTCTTGGATGTCTTCTATGTTGCTCATAGGCGTTTTTCATAACTTTTTCCCTGTACTCCTCGAACCTTTCCAGAACTTCTATCGAGTTCTTCACTCTTAAAACCCTTTTGATCTTCCATGGTGGTTTTGAGGGATTCATTGCCGCTTTTTGAAAGATTAACTCAATGATGTTTCTTGATGGATCACCATTGTTGAGCTCTGATTAAAAATAGCAGGGTTAGATTGCATGCAAAAAGGTACAAAATCCCATTACATTGGACAAACATAGCCTACATAGATGATAATGTTGAGCCCTAATTTAAGATTTCATGAAACTCCTAACTCAACTATGAACTGTTCAACTAGCAGCAATCATTTCGAAGACTTAGACTAACTATGGAAGCCTTAAAGAAACATATGTTGAAGGAAATGTCAGCAAAGACATACCATAAAACTGTGTTTTCGGATAGTTTGGTCTGAAAAGCGATTCGCGAAATGGATTTCTCAGTTGATGAACAAGCTCTTTCTCCAAGTTCTCATTTCTAGAATCATACGCTTTTTTCCTACAGTTGTTTCCTGGCCTTCCAACCACATCAGTCAGCTTACTAACACAGTTCACATTCTCCTTCAAAGACACCCAAACTGCCTGCATTTCTCTTCTTTTCCTCCCTCTTTCTGACTTTGATTCTTCGCAAGTTGTGAACTTGAGAATGGAAGGGAAAATGCAGTGTTTAGGGGAATCCTACACTGGCTAATTATAGCATACAATGGAATGTTACCAGTCAATGACAAAACTATAGCTTTCCTTTCAGTTTCATATTTGTTTTGAGAAGGTAAAATTTGTGAGGTTCAAGTGGAGATATGGGCCACAACGTGGCTGCATGCTTCTACAATCCCTGCCAAAACAAAGACAAAACTGGTGAATTTAAAGGGTTTTGGATTCTATCAACAGTGCATTTATAATGTCTACCCTACTAAAAATTGAAAAAAAAAAATAAAACACTCGAACGTTACATAAGCTTCTGGATTTACTACAAGCCAAGAGTGGGAAAGAAACAGGAATTTCATTCTTCAAGGAATCTTTTTCTGGTACTGATTTGGATGGATTTTCACCCTTTCTTTACCCTTCTCTAGTTCTGCTGGCATCTTTAATTGGATCCTGAAAGGCAACCTAATGTAAAAACTAGAAAAATCTGTGGTTGATTGGAGATATATATATATATTAAAAAAAGCAAATGAAGAATGGCCAGCAACACAGGCCAACTTAATGACTTGGATTTCAATCTATGCACATAATGAAGTGTACTATAAGACACTTTGAAAGAAAAAAATTTACCCACGTAAGTAAGATCTGGGGTTGAAAAGGAAAAACAATGTCATTTAAACACTCACATAAATACTTAACAGATTTGAAAATGTGAAACTAAATCTATTTTTCTGTTATAAAATGTTCTTCCAAGATGGTTCACAATTCACATGCGACAAAAACAAGCAGCTGTTAATGCATTCCCGAACAAGAGAAATTATAGCTTCTTTTGTCCTTTTTATCTCAGGACCGGGAACAAGTTGTCTGCACTTGAACCTCACCCTTGAATCAACAATCAGGACATACATGGTCCATCTTCTTGGCCTTGGATCCTTCACATGTTTGGTCAATCATCTGGACATCTCAAGTTCTCAAACAAGCCTCTAGCAATTCTTTTTTTTAGGTAATTTTATGAGAATCATCCATCAAAATGTGTAACCAAAGCTTTGATTTCAGGTACATTATCTGAGAGGCAATGGTCAAGAAAAATACAGGTATACACTGTAGTAATCACAAGCTCTCCAAGTTAAGACAAGCTGGAAACATATTCCTTACAAATTCCATTTCAAGAACTTGTTTTACAACACCTTCCTGTAATAATACGTGTATCAGTTCCACTTTTGTACAAACTACAAAGTTAATACAAACAATGATTGGCAACAGAAGGAAGCTTGTAGTTCCAATTAACAAGATCAGATCAAATAGTAAACTAATATATATATATATATATATATATATGTAGAACAATCCATATTTCAGAATACAATTCTACCCTTTTCTTCTTTTACCAGCCAAAAAGATGGAAAAAAAAAAAAGAAATCATGTCCATGTTTTATTTCTTGTCACCTTCATTGTCAACAGATTTAAGGACCTGTTAGTATTCTTCCAATGCTCTATGGAAATGCGTAAGAGTGATTTAGGGGTGTAATTTCAACACCGCGACCTTCACTTGGATTTTCAGTAGATCTGTTAGTGTGTTAGTGGTTGAAGTAACTAGGTATGACATTTCTACTGGTACTGTTGTAACAAGTTCTGCCATCTGATCAGTTTAGATAACATGATGGATCTGTGCATGGTGATCCATACTGTTAGGCAAACAACTTTTATAATAGTTAAACAAACTTTTGTATTTTTTAAGCCTATAAATTAATGAAATGAAGCTCATGATCTGATGAGCTAATTTACTTCAAGTGACAGATTAGTTTCTTTTGTTTTTTTTTGTCTTTGTTCTTCTTTGCTCTAAATCCTTCAATTGGTATCAATGCATTCTTTAAGGTCTTAGAGGACCTGTGACCTCCAAAAATTGAGTGAAAAGCCATCAAACACTTACCAGCCAGCTTTTGTCAACCTTAAATAGCCTCAAGCAATTGCTCCTTACCTCTACCTCTTATTTTTTCTGGTGAGAACTATCAAATATGGGCTGTCAAAATGAAGACCTATTTGAGTGTTTTTGATTTATGAGAAATAGTGAAAAATAAGAAGGAACCACCACAACTTCTTGCAAATCTAACAGTAACTCAAATGAAAAATTATAGTGAAGAAAAAGCGAAGAGGTACAAGGCTAAAAGCTATATTGAGTCTTCAATTTCTAATGACATATTCATCAGAATCATGACTTGTGAAACTGCAAAACAAGCTTGGGACGTGTTCAAGGAAGAATTTCAAAGTAGTGACAAGACAAGACAAATGCAAGTGTTGAATCTTAGAAGAGAGTTTGAAGTCTTAAAGATAAAGGAGTCTGAAAATTTAAAAGAGTACAATGACAGATTCATGAAGATAGTAAACAAGATTAGATTACTTGGTGAGAAGCTGTCAGACAAAAAAATTGTAGAGAAGGTTTTTATTAGTTTACTAGAGAGGTTTGAGTCAAAAATCTCATCCCTTAAAGACTCCAAGGACCTAACCAAGATAACTCCAGTAGAATTGTTCAATGCTTTACAAGATAACTCCAGCAAAGAAGGGCTATCAGATAAAAGGATTCAACAGAAGATGCTTTTTACAGCCAAAAAGAAAGGCAAGATGCAAACAGAAAGCAAAGGCAGAAAACAAGGAGATCAAAGAAACAAAGGTTTTAGAAACAATGAAAAGAAAGGAAAATTTTCACCTTGCTCTCACTGTAAAAAAACCACTCACTTGGAGAAATATTGCTGGTACAGACCTGACATACAATATAAGTACTATAAACAGCTTGGTCACATAGAGAAGGTATGGAAAAACAAAAAAAAAAAGTAGCCAGATCAATAAGCCAGAGTTGCTGACAATCAACAACAGCTAGAAGAGCAAGTTTTTGTTGCAACTTGCTATGGAACCAGAACCTCCTCAAGTGCATGGCTCGTTGACAATGGCTGCACACACCATATGGCATCTGATATCAATATTTTCAAAGAACTGGACATACTTGTACCTTTAAAGTCAGAATAGATAATGGTGATTTCATAGAAGTCAAAGGAAAAGGAGTAGTGGCAGTTGAGAAACCAACAGATACCAAACTCATTTCAGATGTGTTATTTGTGCCTAAAATAGATCAAAACCTATTAAGTGTAGGACAGTTGCTAGAAAATAACTACTCTTTAGTTTTCAAAGACAAGGCATGCATAATTCATGATCCACTAGCCATGAACTTTTTATTGTTAATATGAAAGGAAAATATTTTTCCTTAAATTGGCATGAAGCAAACTCCTCTATATATGCTAGTTCATATGATGAATCTTTTTTATGGCATAAAAGGATGGGACATTTCAACTACAATGCATTGAATTTCATGCATAAAAATGATCTTGTATTAAACATGCCTACTGTTGAAGTCAATGCTGGAGTGTGTAAAGTCTGTCAGCTAGGAAAACAAAGTAAGTTGCCATTTGCAATTAACAAAGCATGGAGGGCAACTGAAAAACTACAACTTATTCATACTGATGCTTGTGGTCCTATGAGAACCTTGTCCTTGAATGGCAGTGGATATTTCATTGCTTTTATAGATGATTTTACCAGAATGTGTTAGATTTACTTCATGAAACAAAAGTCTGAAGTTGTATATGTATTTTGAAAGTTCAAAGCTTGGATTGAAAATCAAAATGGCTGCAAAATCAAGATCATAAGGTCAGACAATGGTACTAAATACACATCTGACAGATTTAATGAGTTTTGTGAAGTTACAAGAATTGAATACCAACTGACAGTAACTTACACTCCACAACAAAATGGAGTCAGTGAAAAGAAGAATAGAAGAATCATGGAGATGGCAAGATGCATGCTGTTTGAAAAGAATCTTTCTAAGAAATTTTGGGCAGAGACAGTCAATACCTCTATCTACTTGTTCAACAGGCTGCCAACAAAAGCTTTGAAGGGAAAAACCCATTTCGAAGCCTGGTATGGAAGCAAACCATTAATGCACCACCTCAGAGTTTTCGACAACATTTGTTATGTGTTCGTTCCTGATATTAAAAGGGACAAGCTTGATCAAAAAGCAGAAATATGTATTTTTCTGGGCTATAGCAACATCACCAAAGGCTATAGGACTTATAATCCACTTACAAGCAAGATGATTGTAAGTAAGAATGTGAGATTTAATGAGCAAGCTGCCTGAAATTGAGAAAAGTCAAATGGAAAATCAGTCAAGCAAACTGCTGCAAACATGATAAGCTTCCAAGATCAAGAAGATTATATATTTGAAAATGAAATCATTGATCATGAACCAGTGAGAGGAATCAGATCACTCATAAATATTTATCAAAGATCAAATGTTGCCATTCTTGAACCAGCAAGCTTTGAAAAAGCTGTCAAATTTTTAGAGTGGAGGAATGTCATGAAGGAGGAGATTCATATGATTGAAAAAAATCAAACATGGATGCTAGTTGACAGACCAAGCAACAAAAACATCATTGGTGTTAAATGGATTTTCAGAACAAAGTTGAATGCTAATGGTTCCATCAACAAACTTAAAGCTAGATTGGTAGCTAAAGGCTACTCCTAACAGCTTGGTGTTGATTTTTCAGAGACATTTGCTTCAGTTGTAAGGTTGGACACCATAAAGCTGCTATTAGCCTTAGCAACTCAGCAAAGTTGGAAAATATACCAACTTGATGTCAAATATGCCTTCTTGAATGGTTATATTGAGGAGGAGATTTACATTGAACAACTTGATGGTTTTGTTACCAAGGGACATGAAGGTAAAGTTTATCTACTTAAGAAGGCTTTGTTTGGATTAAAACAAGCTCCAAGAATGTGGAATTCCAGAATTAATGATCATTTACTGAAGTTAGGATTCAAGAAAAGCCTTAGTGAAGCAACATTGTACATTAAAATTTTTAATATTAGTGATCTGTTGATTGTTTCTTTGTATGTTAATGATCTTTTGGTGATAGATAACAAATCAGCTCTTGTGGAAGATTTTAAGCTCCAAATGCAGGAAGTTTTTGAGATGACAGATATGGGAGAAATGTCTTATTTTTTTGAAATGGAGATTCATCAAGACCAGCAAGGAATCTTCATTTGTCAAAGAAAATATGCAAATGAAACCCTGAATAAGTTTGGGATGGAAAATTGCAAACCAGTCAACACTCATTTGGCTCAAAATGAGAAACTTATTAAGGAAGATGGAGCTAACAAAGTTGATGGTTCTATTTATAGAAGCTTGGTTGGTTGCTTATTGTATTTGACACCAACAAGGCTAGACACCATGTATGCTGCAAATTTACTCTCTAGGTTCATACAAAATCCTAGTGAGTTGCATTTTAAAGCTGCAAAAAGAGTGTTGAGATATGTCAAAGGAACCAATGAACTTGAAATTTGGTTAAGAAGAATGAAAGTTCAAGATTGGTTGGATTCACAGACAGTGATTGGGCTGGCTCTCATGAAGACATGAAAAGCACTTCAAGCTATGTGTTTTTCATTGGATTAAATGTGTTCAGCTGAAATTCAAAGAAACAAGGAACTATGGCTCAATCAATAGCAAAAGCAGAGTATATAGCTGCTACAGCTGCTGTTAATCAAGAAATTTGGCTAAGAAAAATTTGATGGATTTGAGTCAAAAGTAAGATGATCCAACATAAATTTTTTGTGATAATCAGTCAGCAGTTGCAATGGTCAAGAACCCTGTGTTTCATGGAAAACTAAGCATATTAAGATCAAGTATCACTTTATTAGAGAAGTTGAAGCTGAGAATGAAGTGAAACTAGAGCATTGCAAGTCAGAAGATCAAATTTTAGACATTCTGATAAAGGCCTTACCAAAGGCAAGGTTTGAAACATTAAAGAAAAGTCTTGGTGTTTCCAGTAGAAATGCCAAGGAGGAGTGTTAGTGTGTTAGTGGTTAAAGCAACTAGGTATGTCATTTTTACTGGCACTTTTATAACAAGTTCTGCCATCTGATCAGTTTAGGTAATATGATGGATCTATGCATGATGATCCATACCGTTAGGCAAACAACTTTTGTAGTAGTTAAACAATTTTTGTATTTTTGAAACTTATAAATTAATGAAATGAAGCTCATGATTTGATGAGCTAATTTACTTCAAATGACAGATTAATTTCTTTTGTTTTTTTTTCTTTGTTCTTCCTCTGCTCTAAATCCTTCAAGATCCATACTGATTCATGCCACCATTTAGAACACCATAATATGCTGTCATTGGAGTTGCTTGAACCAATTTGAAACTAGAACCACCAGTCATGACTACTGGTCCTTGCAGTAGGTACATCATGATTGTGTTTTCCCTCATATGTGGTTACAACGGCTTTTGGACCATGAGATGCTCTCTCAACGTGTTTTCTAACAGGGCAACCGGCATTTGTGCACTTATAATAACTCCTGCATAAAAAGAAAGCAGAAAATAAAATATTATCGAATAATGTAAGAAACCAGAATAAAAGAATATGGTCAAGACGCACACATGACACTAAAGTATGTGCCTTGAAGTCTGCATGCAATGAATTTATAGCAAAACAACAAAATCCAAATAACGCTGGAAATAAACTGAATAGAAGATTCTACAAACATTCAGTTGTCCTCTCTAATTTATGACAACGCACAAAAGTCAGCATGCTTCCTATGGAGATTTATGCCCACCAATGTTGCGTTTGAGAAGCTATATGTCGAAACAGATGAGCTTATTAAGATGTGACTTGCAATTTATGATTCTAATTCTATCATCATTGATTTAATGATATGTACCTAGGATTAGGATTTTCTCTCACTACTTTTTGCCCATATTTGCGCCATCGATACCCATCATCCTGTATATCAACTTCACTCAGAGTCTGAACAACAACACGTGGTTCCCGGATTGGCCTCACCACAGGAGCGATATCAATCCCACCCTCCATCTTCCTGCTCATAGTTTGATAATATCACTGAGCAAGACAAATCCACTGAGGAAAAAGTTAAAGCCTCTATCGAACAATAACAATACCTTCGCTTTGAGAATGGATCATCATCGTCAACCTCATCTACATTATCATCATTAGCTGTGACAGGAGATAGATCAGCAGTACCATTCGGCTCAATATTATGAACCATCTGGTCAAACATGCTGGATGGCTTGTCTAAAATACGGAAAAAGAAAAGATTAATTCACAGGCAAAAAAGTACCCTTAACACATAAAACTGAATGTGTAGCCTTTTCCCTTACCATCTCTACCGGTCAAAGATGAGACCTTGTCAGATCTTCTTGGCCAGACATGATATTACCAGAAGAATATCGGCGGCTAGGTTGAGGTTTAGGATGATCATGTGTACCTTTGTATATTATCTCTGTGATCTGTCCATCATGAGATCGCTCAAATAGCTTTTTACTTCACAATTAGGATGTGTACATTTGTAATAACTGCGTGGAAATTCACTTCCTTTAACATGTTTCTGTCCATACTTTCTCCAGTTGTATCCATCATCAGATGGCACTGATGGACCACCTCCTCTAGGATCAGGCTGCCCTGACTGGCGTCCCACTATTTGGGTTCCCTATCTGGTTTAATTCGTCTACATCAATTTCAGCCGGAGCACTAGCCATAGAAGTAGCTGTCTGCACTTGAACCTCACCCTTGAATCAACAATCAGGACATACAAGGTCCATCTTCTTGGCCTTGGAATCTTCACATGTTTGGTCGATCATCTGGACATCTCAAGTTCTCAAACAAGCCTCTAGCAATTTCTTTTTTGGATAATTTTATGAGAATCATACATCAAAATGAGTAACCAAAGCTTTGAATTCAGGCACATTATCTGAGAGGCAATGGTCAAGAAAAATACAGGTATACACTGTAGTAATCACAAATTCTCCAAGTTAAGACAAGATGGAAACATATTCCTTACAAATTCCATTTCAAGAACTTGTTTACAACACCTTCCTGTAATAATACGTGTATCAGTTCCACTTTTGTACAAACTACAAAGTTAATACAAACAGTGATTGGCAACAGAAGGAAGCTTTT